TCTGGTAACATTACTTATTCTGATTCACAAGAGATTCTATATTAAACTAAACGATTCGTCGGTTAAACCATAAAACTGTGTGAAATACAATTGATTTTTGGTAATAATTAAAGTACGTTTGTTTTTATGTGTGAAGAACAAGTAAATTTACACTAGTCATTTATCGAATCTTAAAATTTTGTCAATCAAAGTAAATATATAGGTCAATATTTTGTATATATTGAACAGTTTAATTTATAGAAAGACTTTGTTTAGCTTCAGAAAAAAAAACTTGATAATTTATTGATCAACACTTAACTTTCCAATAGCCATTATTCTCTATGTGAATAAGACATAAGCTATCAACGTTCAAAGTACTTTTATCATACTAAGTTCATTGGGTCAGATTTAGATTAACTATTGATAAATCAAACAATTACTTTCCGAAATATAGATCAATCTGAATAAGCAAATGAATGTTCTTTTCCAGTCATAATAGGCATTGAGAAAATTAACATTGAAGTTTAACAAGTAATCATGTTTTATAAATGAGATTATTAAATATTCTATATTCATTCTTGTTATTGTCCCGATAAGCATAATGAATGGTAACTTTTGGGATTCATTTATGAACTAATACTATGCCTATATTTTTATTGTATAATTGTTAAATAACTAAATTATGCATATTCATATTCCTCTTATTATAAGCCTTATTTTGACCTATGAACTATTATTATACGCTTTAGCATTCTTGAATTATGCCCTGTCTATTGATTATTACCTCCCACATTTACAGCCATATTTGACTAATTCTTGTACAAATGTTGTTTCCTATTTTATGGTACGATGTGGTCTGTCTGGTTGGTATATAAAGCCAGTATACTTGAAATAAATGATTCATATCGTAGAGGCTAAGATTGGTGTTTTGAACTTAACTGGCTAGGCTAGATAGGAAGCAGCGCCAATAAGGACTGTAGACTATTCGCACGGGTTTTATGCATCATTGGTCCGATCGATAATTCACTACTCTCTAATTGGCGGTATCATCACGTTATACATTAACACGGCACATAGGTCACAAGTTATAACAATTCTATAGATCACTGATATAAATTAAATCATAATATGATTTGAATATATCAATTTCATTAATCATTTCTACTGATTAGAATAATTTTTCCGTTGTTTCTGTCTCATTTATTTTCTCTTCTCTCAAGTATAGAATTTCTCGAAGAGAAAAAAAACAAAATAAAAGATTCAACTGAAATAAATAGATTTTTGGCAATTATTTTTATCTGTAAGCAGAAAGGAAAAAAAGAAAAGAGAATTAAACAATCATATAAATTACAACTGTGTTTCATGAAACATAAGTCATTTATTTTATTAAGTACAGTTAAATATATGAATAAGTATATTTTTCATTAATCACAAGAACTAATTACATTTTCATTATTTTCATGAAATGATTGAATTTATTTTTATGATTTGATAGGACAGGAAATGAAAATGATAAAATATCATTAAGGTAATAACTGCATCATTGATGAACAGGGTGGATCTGATGTAGATGTGAAGACGCGGATCGGCAAAGCAAGAGCAGTATATTTACAACTGAAGGACATCTGGAACTCAAAACAACTCTCAACCAACACCAAGGTCAGGATTTTCAATACACATGTCAAGACAGTTCTACTGTATGGGGCAGAAACCTGGAGAACTACGAAAGCCATCATCCAGAAAATACAGGTGTTTATTAACAGTTGTCTATGCAAAATACTTCGGATCCGTTGGCTGGACACTATCAGCAACAACTTACTGTGGGAGAGAAGAGACCAGATCACAGAGGAGGAAGAAATCAGGAAGAAGCGCTGGAAGTGGATAGGACACATTGAGGAAAGCACCGAACTGCGTCACAAGACAAGCCCTCACATGGAATCCTGAATGCCAAAGGAAAAGAGGAAGACCAAAGAACACATTACACCGGGAAATGGAGATAGACATGAGAAAAATGAACAAGAATTGGATGGAACTAGAAAAGAAGGCCCAGGACAGAGTGGGTTGGAGAATGCTGGTCGGCGGCCTATGCTCGATTAGGAGTAGCAGGTGTAGGTAAGTAAGTAAGTTAAGTAATAACTAGGATAGTTTGAGAAATACTGCTAGTGAATATGAATCATGTTTAAGGAATCATATTATTGCATAGTTTTTCTATCAACCTATAAAAACTACTTAAAACTTCCACGATTCATTTGTTTCCCAAGTTTCACTATAATATATGATTATATTTGTATGAATAAATAAGAAATATTAAACCGATTAAGTTAATTTATACGTCAGTGATAACAGTTGCTTAGACTGTATAATTAATAGCATTAAATAAGAAATAACTATTAATAGTAAGGTGATAGATGTAGTTATAGTGACAAGAATAATAATGACAGTATGGTAACATAAATTACTATTTTAGGCGTAGACCTGGGAAAATGAATTTAATTAATCAATAATCAACGAAAATATGTAATCATTCCGAATACGCAAATGGTCATCAAGAAATACTCAATGAGTTAAAAAAACAGATAAAGGGGAATGATTTAACCATTTATTAAGTCTTCTGCAACGAAGGTAGAATATACAGGTACTACACATATCTTTTAAAGTTTATTTGTAAGTACAAGTGTTATAGAATTACCGATCAAATGAAATGAAAAACGTGTGTATTTTTATCATCTAACGTTTTACAAACAACGAAGGATGATCGTCTTCAGTGAGTTGATTATATTTCCTAGTAATATCCTCGATATATTTTATCCTGAGGAGCAAATGACCCAGTAGTTTATAGGAAAGTTTTAGTCAACTGTTTGTGAATATTTTAACAGCTAAACAACACATGCCACACTAATCGGCATCCGAACCTCCCAGCTATTTTTTGAAAAAAATAAATGTTTTTATCAAAAAGGTCGAAAATCTCTATAGTGCAAATAATCGGACTATACAGTTTATATTATTCGGATGCTTTCTTGTTATAGTACAACTTTATGGTGTGATTTTTTTTAGAAAAGTTTATTATAAAATGATTGTAATATTTGTAATTATTAATTTTATGAAACATATGATGGGAACAATAAATTGAATCGCTTGTCGACATTTATATACACGCTACCATTCATGTGATTATTCACTTGTCGTTATTCCAATTATATAAAATGCATTTTATGATTTGAATTATTCTTATACATGATTATACTTATCAATTTGTTTATTAAAAGGGAACATGTTGGAGATGTCCAGCATACGTTATTAATTAGCATAATTTGATTACATCAGCTTTAAGCACAATAATATGATTAGAAATAAACAAGAAAACAATGTCCTAATCGTCTTCCTGGACATTTTTAGTGAATATATACACATATACTGAATAGTTTGTTGGCAGGTACTCATAGATACCGTCAAATTATCCGAATTTGAATTTAAGCATTGAAGTACAACAGAATTTTCAAAATAACTAAATCAAAGATGAAAATCAATTTATTTGATTACTAACTTTCAATATGTGGTTTCACTAATTGGCTTTAATTTACTACCTAAAAATGTTCGGAATCTTTCTTTGTTACACAGATACAGGAAACTAACACAAAACTTGAACATAAACATTTTACGTTTGCATATAAGTGAACTAATACCTTGTTCTATTTAGTACTACATTTTAAAGTGACTTATAAATAGTGAATAATATTGTGATGTTCAGCTTATTAAAGAGTAAGACAATTCAACATCTTTAATTAGTCAATTACTGCTTGCTGAAAAAGTCTAATTTGTCAGTAGCATGTAATTAAATAGCGTTCACATTGTTTTTTGTATACTGTCCAACATAATTTCAGTGAAATAGAGTTCACTAAATAACAGTAAGCTCATTCTCTGATGCACTAACGAGTAATCATTTGTTGAACACCACAGTTTGTCATTGGTATATAGTAAATACACTCATTACCATTATTATATAAACAACGTAGGTATAAAATTACAACAATCAATTAAAGCAAACATATGTATGTAATACGTTTTAGGAAATCAATTTTAGACTCTTGTACAAATACACATGAGGAAATAATATAATATTAAAGAACATGACTGATGATATAGAGAAGAACAGAATCAAAACAGAAACTTGATCGACAAATCAGATCCATTCCTAATGGAATTAACATTAAAAAAAGGAAAAGATAGTCAACATATTCACAGAATAATCTTCCGATTCAAGGAGACAAATGAATAAATACAACTGAATATTTCAACTCTATTTACGATGAAATAAAGTTTGTTTTTTTAAAACGATAAAATGTTTAATAAATAGAGAATAGAAGAAGAAATCACTGTAACTATTCGGGTGTTATCACTATTATTAATTATCATGTAATGATAAAATTAACAATAAAAGAAGGATGTACAGGTTTTATTGTGCAATTAATTAGTTCATATTTGAAATAGTTGTATTTCTAAATGACAAATAATTAATTCCACTAATGGAATATAAATCACTGAAGAATAAAATCATTAATCTAAGAAAAAAAAGGAAATTGTATACAATGTTTGTCAAAGAAATCTAAGTTGCCTTCTTTAAAACAATGATTAGGTCGAATCATAGTTATAAAATGCCAATTAGTAATTTACAATAAAAAATATTGATTGGCTTGAAATGCAATAATCAATAAACATATCCAATCACAATTTAGAACTCACCAATCGTTTATAAATTCGTAATGTCTAGTATGAATAGATAAATATAAGAGTTGATAAGTAAACACAACCTGAAGATGAAATTTCCCATGAAAGGAAGTGCATAATACATGATATATGTTCTGGACATACACACACATGAACACTCAAGTAAGTGTTAAAGGAAGAACGGAAATTTCAGGAAAATCAATCACGTACAATATTCTGTTAGTGTATGAATTATATTTCCAAGACAGATAATTTTATTAGCAGGAAAATATAAATAAAAAATATTATTGTCATGATCAACGCCGGCGGCGTACACGCCATCGAAGTATATAATAACCAAGTATTCGTAAAAAAAGAAAAAAGATGCATAATACACCGAAATCGACAGAAACACTATAATCTGGAATATTTAATGCTTGAAATATCATTGCTGGTTTGCCAAGACAAGGATAACTCATCTTATTTATTCGTTTACGATCGCAATCAAGTTCTGTACGATTATTTCCATAGATAATCTAGAAAAGTTGAAAATTATAACCAATCTTAACGTGTATTTATAATAATAAATGTTGATATAATAAGCGATAACATATGTATGGTTTTATTGACTGGTATATATATTAATTACAATGTTTCCTGAGTAATTCATGTAATCTAAAATATTCGTGACGGAGCTACTAATGTTTTGCTGTCCTTTTGAGTATAACTTTCTACAGTGAAGTGTAGTGAATAAGCTAATGGAAATCTTAGTTTGATAAAGATTTGTAGCTTAACAGAATGGTACTTGAGTTGTTAATCTCTATAAACTAGAAAATTAAATCTAACTGCTCCATCGTTACGTTCGTTTGAACAAGTGAATGTAATTGTGTATGAAATGATGAAGTGGAAAATGAAACCGAATAATAATTGTACCATACTTCTCTGTCAGTCGTAAAAAAATGGCTGTTAGTTTTCAGCGCTTCGTTTATTATATTATACGCTTCTTTCTATCCACAAGCTTAACAACTTACTGTCATTGTGTATCATATAATTATATAAAAACGGTCTGAAAGAAGGTAACTGTTGCATCATTTACTTTATCAGGGTTACGACAGAGTCTGAAAAGTTACGTCCAGATTCTTGAAGTTTTACTAGACATAAGTTGATATACACTCAATTCACCTACGATGGTAATGGAAAAGTACTACTCAGCCTGGCTATGAAAATACCTCTGATTTGATTTCTCCATTTAGGTAGGAGATATGAATAATAAGTTTGAATGAAACCATAAATAATGAGTTATCCTGAGTTGTCACCGTCCTTTGACTTTATGAATACTCATATTAAGTAGTATAAGACGACATGTGGTCTGTTTCAGTTTAAAATAATTTGCAGAACTGTGGTTAATTCAGTCATATTTTAATAATGGATTGATAATAAATTAATAAATAGGAGAAAGAATATGACTATCCACTCAGTCTACTGTAAGATAACTCAATGGATAAATTGTTCAGACGTGGACATAGTCTGTGGATGGATTGACAATAAAAAATACGTGATATCATGTACATAACTTACTTTGAGTGCTCCCGAAAATGAATATCGGGTAAATGATAAGAAAGAAATCCATTGTAAATATTTCGGTATAGCATATAAATTGAGAAAAAACCCAGAGAATAATAGTATAGGAATTCCCGTTACTGGTCCTAGAAATACAGCGACCTGTGTAAAATAATATACAATTTAAATCTTAATTATACTAATATTCTAAGTCATATAAGTCATACATATAGTAATATACCACTCTTATTAATTACATATGTACAAATAATTGGATGTAATGTAATTAAATATAAAATAAACATTTTAATGTCAGATATTACCCTTTTGTACAAAGTAGCATGAAAATATGAATGAAGATTCTCATTCAAATTCATGTATCATTCAAGATGCAAAACATTTTCGGAATTCCACTTTAGATTGACATATTAGATGTGTTCCTATCTACAGTGTGAAATCTGCCGTTTGTATTTTCTTATCAATAATATTCGAAACAGAATCTAGTCAGGTTTTGTGCTAATATAATTAGTAGAAAGTTCAAGTATTAAAGTATAAACCAACACTGATGTGAAGGTGCACCATTAGCTATAAATGAAACCATTGATATAGTTTCACCTTAAGGGACTTTTCAAATAGTCAGTGAAAGTGAACATGAATACTTCATTGTATATCAGTTGAAATATGAAGATTTGTTCAGTACCATGTATAAATGTTAATGTCATTGTATGTGAGTGTAATAAAAGGATATACAAAACATGCCGGTAGATTACGACGCTTTTGAAAATATTTAAGTTGTAGTCCGTCGAAATAAATTATCATATACAGGTTGGATTCAATCCACCAACAAGAAAGCAGTGTCTGATGCATAAAGTTCTTGGAATAATTTGAAGTATGGGAGCTTTATTGAAAACATCAAGTCAATATCCGATTACTAATAAATCAACAGAATATTTTGAAATAGTTTTCAAGAAAAATGTCACAGCGTACGTTGTTATTCACTTGGTATTGTCTACTTGTATCTTCCCATTGTTGTTTGGGACTAAAACTGATCAGTATCTTATTGGCATATGTGCATGCTGTGCAGGCTGCTTTGATATTGCCTCAAGTCACAAGCTTTATAGCCAAAGATGGATGGTGGCTAGCAGTGGACTCCAGGACGCGTGTTTCATCCTATTCGGGACTCGTCAGCTAGATGTGCCTGAATCTCAAAGTTGATATTCAGTCTGGGATGCACATATGCTAAAAAGAGACTGATCGATTTTAGTCCTAAATATCAATGGGAAGATACAAGTAAACAATACAAAGTAGATTTGGACTTCATCCCATTGTACAAGCAAGTGGCTATCAGGACTCAGTAGCTAAGTGGACAAATACATGGCTTTTGAAGTGAACGGTACTGGGATCGAGCATTGGAGTGAACATCAACTTCGAGATGCAAGTGAATCCAGTTGACGTGTCCCGAATAGTAAGTTGTTACTGTTTTTCTATTATATACTCAGGTTTTTTCTAATAATTGGTCCGTTTTTAAATGACGGGGTTTCGACTAGGCCTACATAGATGGGTGACAACGAATAAGACCGAAAGTATAAAGTTTTTCCGCAGCTAAAATAATCAATACATGGAAGTTGTTAAGTATTTCATCACTTTTATTTTTTCTCTTTTCAGACTTTTCGAATTCAAGCTTCTGAATAAACATGGTATTCAGGACAAATAGTTTATTCAGGTGATTATTGAATATTTTTATAATTGCTAGTTATTTCATAGTCTCCTTAAACATAATATCTATTGTTTATGTTGTATGAAGAATGTACAAGAAGTTTGGTGTGAAATCACTGCAGAACATTAATTTTTTGTTATATAGGAAATACAATTGCAGTTGCTTTGATCAATAGCACTGATACATCAAGAATGACTAAAAAAAGCCAAGCTGAGTATCAGTCGATTCCTGATTCACGACTTCCTTTGTAACAAAGTCCATGTTAAATAAGTTATTATTTTAAGCGTACCTTGTAAGAAAGGAAGTAAATATCGTTTGATGGTTTTCACATGGCATTACTGATCCTAAAATGGGAAAACATTGGGTACCGGAATATGGTTAAGTGGTAAGGAAATGACAAGTGCTAGACTTTCATTTAGGTTGTAGAATTTTGTGCAGGATTGGTTTCTGATAAAAAATCTTGACTGTTTCGGCCGTGATCAGACTTAACAAATAAATCAAACTGCTTTATGAAATCAATTCGCAATATATGAGAATTGATTTACTAAGTTAGATTTCCAGGGACTCATTATTTGTTGAAACCAGAATCACATTTTCGTATATCATTAATTAGTAGGTGAACTTTAAAGATAGTTTCCATCATGAACTGATCATAACTAAACAACCATTGGAATTCATGTAGGCAGCGGACAGCATCTTCGTCCCACTGTCGAATTCCTGCTATTAAGAACACACATGACACTTCTCATAACCGAACCCATGGAAATCTTGTATAGTAACAATAAGTGGAAACCATCTTTTGGCAGTAAATGAATCAAGCAACCAGTCGTTTTCATAAACTTTCCTCTTAAATTCTAAAGTTATAAACACATAAATACTTTATAATTAATAACTATTACAGAATATCCATAAAAATTCGCACTTTCATTCAATAATACATTATGTTAGGACCCGAATTCGAAAAGCGGACGATTGATGAATAATTGATTTAAGCGTACGATACGTCTCAAAAAATCCATAGTGTGATATGAGTTTTGTTTATGTGTTCTCAGCACATATGAACAATATTGATCTTATGATTATTAAGTAAAAGAAAATGTAGTGTCGGTTATTATGTTAAGCCCATATACCTTATTCTAGCTTTCGAACAGCCGATTCTATTCATTCTACTTGAGTCACATTCTGACCTTGTTAATTATTCGCTTGTCAATCTTGACTGTTTTTATATGAGCGCGTAGGTATGTGTACATTTCTTATCCCACTACTCATCACATGTCTGTAACTTACTTTTGTGTAACTATAAATATTAACTAACGCTTGGTTAAAAGGGGGTTGGCTTACCCGCCATTCCCAATGCGCGTCGTTTCTCTTCTCTCTATTCCATTCGCTATATATACACAAGTCCATTCTCGTTGACTTATTTAATTCCGTTATTGACTAACGCGATTAAAGTCGATGATTATATACGAGGATAGGAGACATATATATTTCAACAACAATCATCATTACAATCACCTTGGCGTCAGATCTCGGGCCACTAAAGTGGAGAGCCCTTTCGACAACATCAACCGATCTAAATGACGACAAAATTAAAGGGCCTCCACAAATATATGAAGTAACTAACACATGAAAATGGTTTCTAAAATTCCAAAATCTAAAGGCTTAATGAAAAAGACATCCTCAAGAAGATATTTTAGTACTAAACGATAATAAATATTCCGGATTAAGTCTGAGATACATTTCTCTAAAATACAAAATCCAATCAACTATGTTTATAGTTGCATGTACGCAAAGGATATTCATTGTATGTATAAACTAACACTTTTCGTTGAGTCATACAGTGACTTAGAAATCTGATAACTGAAATTTCAGTTCATTTGCTTTGGATTATATTTTTTGACTTTTATAATATTCATTTAATTTCACATTAAAATCTTACTATTGAATGTAAACTTTTGAAAATTAAACGTGACACAGACTCATAAACAAATATTAACAACATTGTAGGGATACTCGTTTTTTATAAGTTATGTAGATGGATCTTCTTACAGTATTTTAGTCTATAAGAAGAATAGTTTTTAAGGACAACAAAAAGTAGGTCAAGTCGAATTCTTTTTTTTTATAAAAAAAAACGATATGAAAATTCTAGATAGTTTGCGTGTGTACTTTATGCAATTCAAAATAATAGCATAATGCACAAAATATAATAATAATGGAATACACTCATTAAGATGTAAAAAAGAACAAGAGGAGTTGATTGAGTGATAAATTCATTGTCAAAGTTGTTTGATAGTAAATTAACTTTTTTTTCACCATGATAATAAATCATATGTCTGTTAAAAAGTGGTAATATATATATATATATATATATATGCATACAGCCTGATTTATTTAGTCACATAAACTCTTTTTGTTTCAGGTAGTCGTTTGGAGTCCTGTATAGGAAAATTGTATATCGCTATGATCTCTCTGACACCATTGTCTACAGGAGTTTGATTCTTTATCATCCTGTTAATACTGATTCACTTATAGAAATTAAAACTTTTAAGAGTTTTCGTGGTTCAGTATTTAAAAACATCAGTTAATACAAATTTCTAATTAATTGTAAGCACATATATATATATAAAATTTTAAAATATATATCATTGAATAATATGAATAAACTCAATGATTTAAATAAAAAAGGTTTTACATTAGCTACTAATTTATATAGAAGCCATTTAACTTTTAGCCTGTAAAATATACATCATTTTGACATGAATAACCTTTCGAGGATAATGATTTTAATGTTAATTCATAGTGTGTAACAGTTAATTTTCCTTCTATGAAAGGAATTACATTAAATGAAAAAGGAAAAAAAAAACAAACACAACAAGAATAACAAGATTTGCAAAATAAAATGAATTCGTCTGTCTATTTCATGGTTTCTCATCAGCTACATATGATCAAAAATTATAATTATAATTATAATTATTAATAAATGTTTAGCATACTTTTGCCTATGAAACTTAGATGAATGTTCGAAACATAAACAAATTCATAATACTAGAGATAAAAAGTGTATGAATACAGTTATGATCAATGTGCTGGAAAGTAATAATATATACAGGTTACGTAGAGGTAAAAAAATCAATAGGCAATTGCGTAATCTCTCAACATGATAAGATTAATAAATATGTAAACATCAATCATATTATGTAAGAGATGAAATCAGAAGACGAAAGAAAAGGAAAAGGTTGGTAACAGGGTTGGAAATAATTAAAAATTAGAATTAACGAAGGTTATTAGACAAACATACATTCACATTGGGAAGGAAAGGCTAATCACACTTCCCTTTTGTATATATAGGTTAGGTCGGAAATGTTTGATAGCGATTGCCTCTGCCAAACAAAGTAAGATTGATGTTTTTTGTCCGCTAACTATTTTAAATGCGTTACTTATACCCACTTCATGTCCACGTCCCTAAAAGTGTCTGGGGATTGCACTTTTAAATGTTTTGCCTCCTATCTCCTGTAGGTTCCAAGGAACGTATTCAGAAAACCTTTTAGAGGTCCCTCTTTTAGTTCTTCTTATAACCTTACTATAGCAGGTACATGTAAATCCATAGATGCAATTAGAGACGACGTCGGTAGAGTATTGATCTACCTTAGAATGGTATAACGACCACCTAGTGTTGTATAGGGAAACCAATTGATAACAGGGAGGCTTTTTTAAGTGCTGTCTAGACTTTCCAATCGATTCCTCATGAGATATTATCTCACCTGAACGAAAGGCGGATGAAGATAAGCTTCTTTCCAACAACTGGATGTTTACCATCCTTATAATGGCCTTGCCCGTTTTTCGTTATAAATTTCTTCTGGTATTTATATTTTATGAGATGCTTTTCTAGAATAGCCAATTTATCATTGGTTTTAATGTTTGAGGATAACAGAGTAGCTCTATTGGAGAACCTTTTGACGAGACACTTTGTAACTGATACGAGGAAAGCTGTCAAAGCTTAAATACTGTCCTGTCCATTTTGCTTTCATACACACTTTTATCAAGACTCATCATTTTTTTCCGTCTTCTACTAAGATCATGTTAAGCGATTATCTGACCACTTATTGATTTCATTACATTCACATAACCTTTATTGTTTTGATTATGATTAACTGTAACTCTTGTTTTACTCCGCATCACTTTCGAACAATTAAATACACATCAATTTTCGATTATGTTAATTCATACACTTTGTATCCTCATTCTTTTGATTATTATGATTTTGGTTACGTTTCGAACAATAATCTTAACTTCACAAACTAATATATGTTAAAACATTTGTTAATAATTTTGTTATTAATTGTGATTCTAGGTCGTATACAGCCCATGAGAAACCGTGACAGACTGATGAATTCATTTTATTCTGGAAACCTTATTGCTCATGTTTTGTTTAAACTTACCAAGGGATCTTGTTGTATAAAAAAAGTAAGGAAATTTGAATCATATTATTGCTTACAAAACACTATTTTAAATGAGTGACTTAAAGATTCAACTTAAATTGTGATTAGCATTAAGTGTGATAGAATATAACCAGATAAAAATATAGAATTATCATACGATTGGCGCAGTATAAAATAAGAATAAAGTATTTACTGTATAAAGTACGGGAATCATGTAAATAAAATGTTGGCATTTAAAAAAACAAAACAGTGTACATCTTATCATTTAGCTAACCTGTAATGAAGTAGCTGTACCAATAACAAGACCTAATGATTGACCAACTAAAGATGTTTGAATCGATATGATAAGAAATTGAATAAATCTTATAGCATCATTTGGTTGTTCAGTCATCCAGTATGTAATACTAGCGTAAACAATAGGAAAAAATATCTAATAAAGGGAAATAAAAAAATAATTAAGTTACTTTAGTAAGGTATTCTTTACATACGTAATCAATAAACGAAAAAAAAATTATGGAAGATTAGTACATTCACAATAAACGATGTCAAACCACGTGATTGAAGATAGTTGACAGGAAACTTTAGATCAAAGTTGTATGCTTGCTAGTATTCGTTATTACAATCTTGAGTGAACTGATGCTCCCTGAAGTTAACCAGCTTCATAGTCTGAAACGTTGTCACTAACCCATTCTAGTCACGAATGACCTTCTGTAGGACTGAGATATTGACAACTGATTGGTCGCTGAGTAGTGATCAATGTTATGTTTGTCTAATCCGTTGGTACAGATAGGAATCTGTCGATTGGGTTGAATGGTGAACATTAGTTTGAGTGATTCGAAATCACTGACAACATGCAAACAAATAACATCCCAACATAGTGCACGTAATGCCACTAAGACTAGTGGCCTAAACAAACATAACATTGGTCATTATTCAGTTATCAATCATTTGCAAATCAGGACTGTTTATAAGGAGTATTACACAAGCTTATAGAACATATTTATTTGTTGAATATCTTGAGAGATCTTATTATGTAAGAAAGTTGAACACGATTCTAAGCAGTGGTTTAATTAACAACTCAATTCATCGAGAAATAAAATAATAAGACATTGCTTACTTTTCGCGAAATCATTTACTTAAGCTGTACATTCGTATATATAGTTATATGGAAAATGTGTGTCTATAGAAAGATAGAATGGATTGTATCACACAAATGGATTCGACAATAAATAACAATGACACTATGGGTTATTTTAATTAACAGTGCTTACTATTGCATGATGGCAAATTTAATTCTGTTCTCATTTATAGCATGGAGTTCCGTTACTTTGAACGTGAATGTAGTAAGTAATCTAGTTATCTATAAATATATCATTTTCATCATTAAAATTAACCTTCAACCACTGGTTTGAGTCATCTCAATATAGGAACTTACATACTCATTTAGATACAGAAATTATTCTGACAGCGAATTGAAAAATGACAGGAATGTAATCGCATATAGTCTATGCTGTTTTCACACACAGCTAAAAACATCCACTTTTATTTTTTGATCAATAGAAAGTAACTAGTGTCCAATTTTTCTTCTTTGGTTTATGTTGATGAACTCGGTAATATTGATTTCTAACTGAATCCCTCTTAGGATTCAAAACTGAATAAACGTTTGACATGATTATCGAGTTGCTGAACTTGAATTAAATCAGATGTTTTACGAATTACAAAATGCAAAAATATTAAGTTAATTTGCAGAAATTAACTGTTGAACTCATGCAAAGTAATATTAACAATGTTATAAGAAATTGATAAATTTTAAATGTGCCAATAATTAAGATTTACCTGGAATGGTACGTCAGCTAGTGATTTCGCCAAGTAATAGGCTTTTAAACTATACCATGAATTTAGATGTTCACGGAAGAATATTGATATTTCAAGAGGAACTGGAAAGAGTAATCAACATGTCTTAGGGGTAACAGTTAGGTTAGAAAAACTAATAGCATGTATAAAATGTAAACGGTTTCCTTTATCAAAGTCACATTAATTAATGTTTAATTCCACTTTATTTTACAACTTTCGACATTATTTTTTATTGTTTTTCTACTCAATTAAAACTGTCATCATAAACTGGGTCTCAGAAATCAGGAATTCCAATTGCACTATGTGACAGTTGTCACCAATGTCATCCACTAATAACTGTGTGCTGTACGTCTCGAGTATCAAGCAAACAGTCGACTAACACAGGTCCTGGGTCCGGTTTCCACCTGCGGAATCATGGACGCTTATTGCTCAAGAGCTCCATACGAGAACGAAACGGCCGTTCAATGCTTCCGGATTTTCAGTGTTAGTCTAAAATTCATTGGTTCGTGGTTTCAGAACTGTCATTCATATATAAAACCTTAACTTATTAACAGTATGGGATATAAAGTAACAAGTATTCATTCAAATTACAAGGTAGCCAATTATCATTCACTTCTTTCTGTTGTATAATAAAAATGATCATTTATTTTTACGATGTAGATTTTGTTTACTTTATCTCTGACCTTATAACTGCTTATATTCCTGATCCCGAGATAAACTGTTTTTATTGTATTATGTTCACCGGATTAAAATAGAGAACTGATGTCAAAATATTAATCAATAAACATATGGACCACTGTTTTTAAGCAATAGATATCTAGTTCATTATAAAGCACTAAGAAAAAAATAAGTTTAAGAAACTTCCTACCTGAAAAATGGTTCATAATTATGCATGTGGGTTATCTAATAAACTCTTTCATAGGATTTTGTTTATATGTCAAATTTATTTAAGCATCAAGTTAACCTGGAATAATATGCTATTACGTAGTGGGAAAATGGATGTTTATTTCAAACTAACAGTCGAAAAAAAACTATGAAAAATAAAATCCACCAAATTTCATCTCATTGGTTTTATGGTATAGTACTCATTGGAAGAATTTAAAAACTTTAATTCTATCATGTGGACAAAATAAATATCCATCGATTGACCCATGATTTTCACTGGTTTACCAACACACGTTACATTCAATACAATTGTGAGCTATTTAATGTAATAGGATATATATATATACAACTTAAAGATAAATGATCCCGAATGGGTTTTTTGTGGAGATTTTAGAAATTTCACAGATTGAAATCATGAGTCATTTGAAGCTAAACCACCATTGAAAACCTGGAAGCACTGGACGGCCGTTTCGTCCTAGTATGGGACTCCTCAGCAGTGCGCATCCACGATCCCGCACCAGGCGGGGACTATGTATTTACTACATTGTGTTACACAAATACAAATCAACTGAATGTAAATTATTATTTTTCGATTATATGCAACATATTTCATTTGACTATCCTTTGTTTTTTTAATTGGTGAAATAAGCTTTTGCTGAATAAATGAGTCAAATAACCTAATAACCTAAATAGTAATGAAAGGTTATTGATTTTTTTGTATATTCAATATCTACTAATGAATTGATGATAAGGTGAATTCTGTAACTATTCTAAACGAATTGAAAACGAAATAATTTTTTGTAGCTTAATCTAGATTTTATTAAAATCATTTGTATGTATTAGCTTATGTTATATATTTTTTTGGTGTGTTTACTTATCTCCAAATTATTTTCTGATAAATTTTATTAAAGATTTCTAATGTTCTAATAATTATTTACTGTATTATTCAAACGTTATTCTTCTTAATCAGATAAATTGAATTGTATAGGCTGTTTCATTTGATTAGAGAACGGATTTGGTAAAGCATTCAATTCTGATGGAATATTTGAATAATCTATTGTAGTGAAACAAAAACAAAACTATAATGTTTAAGATAAGTATGATTACTTGTGAATTACTTGAATTTGTGAGCAACTAGTGTGTTATAAGTTCAGTAAATAAACTTCAGTCAGTCAGCTACAACGTAGGACCAGGCACATATGTGCATCGGTCCAGGTTGCCATACCTCATTAGCACAGCAAGATGAACACCGGATTCATAGGAGTGGTTAGGTCAAAGGTGGTAATATATAGGAGAAAGATTGCATATAAAGATACAGTACAGGAAGAAAGAATTAGTTAGTAGAAAGAAAGATATGAAGTGATTTTAATCTCTTAGTTTAAGGGAAGACAGGGAGTGTATAAAACGACGCCATTGCGATCGATTCTGAGCCATGTCACCAAGAGTCTCCAACCATTGGTTACGACAGTCACGCGGACCCCAACCAAGTAGTCTGCATCTACCAACATGGCTCAGACTAGAAGTTAGTGACTTCAAGCACTGATGCCACGTTTTTGGTTTGGCCGTCCCTAACCTTCTTCCAACCATCCTCAGCATTGCACGTCGTGGTAGTCGGTGTTCACGCATACGTAACACGTGGCCCAACGATCTCAGTCGATGAAGATTCACAACCTCATCAACTGGTTTACCATCATTCCCTAATACCTTGCGTCTAACCTCACTATTACTTACCCGGTGATCCCAGCAGACGCCAGCAATATTTCTAAGGCATCTGTGGTCAAATACTAGTAGCTTACGAGTGTCTTCTACTCTTAAAGGCCATGTTTCGCTGCCGTAAAGTAAAACAGAACGGACTGCCGCGCAGTATACTCGTCCTTTTATTGATAGACGGATATCTCGCCTTCGCCAAAGGTGACGCAAGTTGGCAAAAGCCAAACGAGCTTTTCGAATCCGTGCTGAGATTTCGTCCGATACCAGCCCATTAAGGCTGATCAGACTTCCAAGATAAGTGAAGTTGTCGACGCGTTCGACTACTTCACTCCCTATCCTTAGTTCAGGTGTTAACGCAGACTAGTCCTGAAGCAACAACTTGCATTTAGAGGGAGAGAAGCGCATCCCAAACATTCTGGCATTGTTGCTTAGTGCTACCAGAAGACTCTGCATTTTGTCAGCGTCTTCACCAAACAGGACTATGTCATCTGCGTATTCTAAGTCGATAAGTGGACCTCCTGGAAGGAGATCAATACCCGAGAATTCAGTCGACGAGAGTGTTAGTAAATAAACTTATGTCTAGTTAATGATGTATTCTTGATAATTTTTTGCTGGTATGATGAATAAAAACATTTTATGTACGATTAAAATAATAAAGTGTATTATTTAAATTTTAATCGAAAGGTTAGTAATTCATTATCTTGACTTTTCGAGGTTTATGCAAGTAAAGTTATGTTATAAATATTTAGGTAATCAATTTTTATCTCCTATTCTCAAAAAACGAACTATCACCAAGTATACATAATTTCACATGGCTGATGATTTGATTGGAGACTCTATCATTAAAAGTGATTTATAATAGGGGAAATTCTATTAAAACAAAATCTTTAGTAGCTTTGTATAGTATTTAATTGAGAATAGTTCTGGTTTGCATGTGTTCCTGATAAGCTTTACAGAGTTAACATAAAACATTTTATTAAAACGGTGGAGTTCCGAGTCAAATAATGGTCCTTACCAAACATCTTTTACAGGAAATAATGAAAATATTGCAACATGAATACAAGGCAAAGTTTATTTACAATTACTATGAAGTTCAGTTGCTTTAATAACACTGGGGCAAGAATTTACAAACAACTGTGACTCAGAACTCATTGGGTCAGCAGTCTGGAAGTTAAGCTGCCACACAAGAGATTAAACATTCTGATTTTGATCATTGGTTGTGTCGTGGATACACACTACTGAGGTGTCCCTTAATACGACGAAACAACTGTTCAGTACTTCCTGGTTTCCAGTGATTGTCTAACTTAGATCATGTCGTAAAATCAATAGCATTCAATAATCTCCTTAAACCTGTTTACGAATAAATGTTTGGTTTTAGTTCATCATAGCAGAACATTGCCTGAGATCAGAAATCATCACTTATACTTACATGTCATCACAGTTGGCATTAATGAAGCAAACATAAGGAATAGCAAAGTAAAGAAGACAAATGCTGCATTACTTATCACTTCGTAACCCAAATTACCAACACGAAAATATAAAACACCGATTAATATTCCAACAACAATATGTGATACAAAACGCAGATGTGTTAATGTCTAAAAAATAGTGAAGAAAAGATGTGGTAATCGAATAAAATAATTAGTAGTTATATATACTGGTAATTTATAAACAATTTAATATTTTGATGAATGAATTCAATTAATTGTTAACTTCAAACAAATGATCTTCAGACATGATTATCAGTAATAAGCTGGTTCTGCTTTACAACACAAGTTTTGAACTGTTTGCATCAACCATATTTAGCCAAGTATAAAGAAGAATATTAAACTTAATCTAGTTTGAAATGGACTGGATTGATAATTTCTATGTAGGTACATTCAGCTGACGAGTCTCAAACGGGACGAAAGGTGAATCTTGGATTCCATTTCTAGACACGTAACCTCTCTTCAATGCTATTAAAATTTTAGATTGTAAATAAAATAACACATGGTGTACACGGACGCCAGTCCTCACATATTTTAAGATTTTTCTGAATAAATACACTTTTGCCATTAATTCTGAAAGCATATCCACTTTGTTAACTTTTATTGCAACTTTGAGTAAAAAGCATGTTATTTAGAAAATCTTTAGCAGTTATTTGTTTACGAATATGAAAAACGCTACTTTGAATCATCATTTCACTGATTAAAGAATTTATTAATATCGTTTTCAATTGTTATGTAATTTTCATCCGTAAGATTTTAAGCTAGCAATAATATTCCGACTATCATTTCAAATAAACCATCCTTTACGAACTGCAGTCATATCAGTTGTACAGTTAGTTTTGTTAGAAGTAGAAAATTCGCTGATATAGACAGTCGGTTGATTTGAAGAGAAACTAGTTGTTATTTCAGTTAGAAATAAAGTAGAATTTTTAAACGATGAAAAGAAATAATATTTACATCAATTATCACAAAGTATTTTAGTTTTTAATGAAGCTGATTAAGTGAAAATCACACAAGAGTTTATTAAACAAGTATTCAACCTAAGCAAATAAATATTATTGAAATATTTATAAGGAAAATGGAAAAATAATATGCAGAAATGAATATATTAAGGGAAATCTGAAACGAATTCAATACAATCTCATACAGGTATAATAATGATCAAAAGACAAAATCAATAAAGGGGAGAAAACGCAAACAAAAGGTTGAAAACTAGAGAACAAATTAAGAAATTGCTTTTTTGTTCAATAACATGTGATTAAAATAATAGTCAATTAATAGAAAAGTGAGTAAGAATGTCAGTACTTTTTTATTGAAAATTTCTAAATATCTTCAAAGCAGAAATAATAAATCTATTATCTTATGAATAAGGGAAATGAAGTTTGGAAATAGATTTTTAGGAAATTGAGAAATAACACTAAGTATTGTGTAAATGAAATATAAATTCAGATAGAATAGTCAAACAGATTATTTTTATTGATTTTAGAGACATTTAATTAAAGAAATGAAGGGGTAATGAAAACTGTGAACTGTACATATTATATTCCTCATATTATAGAAACTCGAATATTTTATGCCCACGACAAGTAGTGGTTCGTTTCGACACACAATCCTATGAAAGTTAATAATTTTGATTGTAAACCATTTTGTGTTACGACCTAAAACATTATGACATCCAGTTGCTGATTTATTAACTAATGACAATTGGTTCCTTTTCCTATCTTCAGTTTTGAAACGGTCATAATTTCTCGAAATAAAATGTTTTAACCATATCTAGAATAGATATTGATTCCTAACTTACATCAGTTCAAAATAGTGATGATATCCATCTAATTAGTATGGATTTAACTACCGTTAGTGAATAATTCTACTTTAGGCTGATCAAGAAACTAAATTATATACAGATATTTGTTTACTTTTCAAACCAAAAAATCTGTGAACTTTGTACGTAAATCCAACTATTAATTGTTATCGAATTATCATCAAAAACACTTTCGTAATGTGGAATATAAGCTTTGATCGTAGTTGCCAAACTATTTTCAGCATTTTATAAACTCCCAGTTAGTTGATCTACTTAAGTAATGAAGTTATGTAATTGGATTAATGATAAGAAATCTTTATGTCATTATTTCCCTAGATAGATAATTGGAACCCAATTAATGGTTGAACATATACGATCAGTACCGTTTTGGAGAGAATCTCCTGATTAGTTAGTCACTTCATATCTTGTTTTTGTAGGTATGATATTCTCATACTATTTAAACAATTAGTGTTTCTTACAAAACGTGTTTGTGATTAACATTTATGAGCTGTAGCTTTCCCACGTTTTCGATATTCAGGTTATCTCAGTGATTTTCATTCGTATGAAGACAAATATCTTATCCACTGTAATGTAAAAGGGGTGCCTGTATGTAGAGGAATTTGGCCGTCAACGTTTTGGAATTAGAAAGAATATATAGCTTTTGATTGTAAGTATACTATCAGCTAATTAAATATTTTATACAATACTTCTAAAAATAATCAAGTGACTTTGTTTCATATTCTATGTACATATTCTTTGATACTCGATGTAGACACTAACAATAATAAAATTGTACATAGTAAGTTATAGAACTAGATTTTTTCTGCAAAATATGTTATTTAGAGAAACAAAAGTTAGTGGGAATTAATAGTTTATAATAATGATTTATCAACCTTTGTTCTTCTATCCTTACGGCCAAATAGCACTGAGTAGGAATGTTGAAATAAACTTGATATATCTACCAGCCGATAAAATGAATAATGAATAAAGTGTCAGATATCAGTTCAGTATAAACGAGAATGAAACATAGGTGTTGTTGTCGATAATAACGATATCGTTGAACAGCCAATTAAACGAGACAAATAAGAATAGATAAATATACTCTCATAAGTAAAGCATTTTTATGTATTGTTCCATAACACCGTAATTATTATGATAAACTGGTATAAATTGTATAACTTACTGAATCACGAATAATGGAAAGTACATTTCTCACGAATAGAACCCGAAATTGGGTTAACTGATTTGCAGCAAATTCTCGACTAGGATCATCGTACTAAAAATGGAAGTAGAAATGAATTTTTCATATATACTTATTATGTGTGGTATACTTTAATATTGATCTTGCGGTCATAACGAATATTTGAATAACTTTAAAATTCGATGAATCTGAATGAATGGGCCAAATATTTTTTAAACAAGATAATTTAGATATTAAAGAGAAAGAAGGAATTTGTAAAATCTCAACGAATGAATATGAAGTAAATTCAAAGTTTCACCTAGCAATCTGATCTAAGCTTTTTCAAGAAATTATAATCAAACATCAAAATTATTGAGTATAAATTGGTACATGGTTCTCTAGTTCACAATATACTAAATTGGCCATCCAATCAACGTCAACAGTGTTTGAAGTACATATTTGCTTTAGTGTGTAAGTGACTTGTGGTGTGAAACGAGAAGTGTTAAGATAATAGATTGTATGTATACACAAGTGGTGTTATCTTAACACATTTTGATTCACACCACAAGTCTTGTACACATTAAAGCAAATATCTACTTCAAACATCGTTAACTTTGATTGAATGACTAGAGAAACATGTACCTATTTATATTCGATAATTTTGATGTTTGATTATAATTTCTTGAAGAAGCTTGAATCAGATTGCTAGGTGAAACGTTGGATTTACTTCATATTCATTCGCTGAGATTTCACAAATACATTCTTCCTCTCACATCAACTAGGCGCTCAAATACTGTGAAACTGTTCGATCAAATGTGGACGAAAGTTCTTATATAAGATAATTTAGGTTAGCCAATGAGCTTAAAAAATCTGGTAATCATTGTACACTATATATATATTCATTGAAAATTGATATTCTTTGTTTGTTTATGATTTATCCATCTTGTTGATGAGTTTTAGGTATTATTACAAATCTCTGACTTGGTTATTTTAAACAAATTTGGCATTGGGTAGATTGTTAATAATAAGGTTGATGACATATATGTAATATCCTAATAGGTGGAAATTTAAATTTCTGGCGCTTCGCTACTTAGCATAGGCTGCTTCTTCAGAAATCTGATTTTTTACTAATCGAAATCTTACAAATATACCATTAATCTTATTATGCCAATTTTATGTTAATATGTACCTTATAGGCTTGTTATTTTGCGATAAAAAGAAGTCTTATTTCAGTCACTGGTGTTTTTGTATCTAACACAGATTCATCCAAAGATTTGAATCCATAATGGTGTCTCATTAGAAACATGAACTCGGAAAACATAGATCTACCGATCGGTATTCATTTTATTTACTTAGACAATTCAAAACCCATCAAGTCATTGAATTCTCCTGGACAGCACTTTCAATAACTGATTTATGGTTATTAGGATAGCACTAAGCTAACAGAAGGAAATATCACTTTGCTTAACTAATTAAAATCAGCCTAATCTTCATTACATCACGTAGAGTACAAATAGGTGTTACCGTCACAATGTAACTGGAGGCGTCATTTAAACAACATAGTGTCATCGAAGATATTCTCAGCTAGAGAACAAATGATAAAACTTTTGCCATAATACTTAACAGAGTCAATTAAGGGCCAAAGAGAAGTTTACAATAAAAAAAGATTGTTTGATAACGGGTAAAGACGAATAACCCTCTGTTTATATATGATTACAATTTTGATGTACATCTTTAATCAGCGAACTGGATAAAGTATATAATAGTAAGTTGACAGTAAAAGCTTATATATATATAGCCTGCTGATGTAAACAAAAGTCAGTTTCTGTCCTGTTATTATTTTCCGTAAAATATTCGTCTACGGGGTGGATAGTTAATAATATACCAATTAGTTGTTTTTGATAAGTAACAATAGAAAGACAAACTACATTGTAGGAGAAAAACGCTCCAGACAATAAACCATTTAACATATTGTCTTTTTTAATGAACAAACAGTTAACAACACTTTGGGTGTATCAACTAATATCTAGATAATATATAATTGACTATATGTATATTAAATAGAATAATTAATTGAATATTCCATTCATAGTGTAATAAAACAATAATCATAGAATACAATCGTTATCTAAATAGCTATTAAGATTAATTTTTATTTCTACGTGTCTGTTTATAAACAGCGGACCGTTTTAAGCTGTAATCTATTCATCATGATAACTACATAAAGGAAAATTCCACAGAGATCAGAAAGATGTTCAGCAGTTTCATTCTCTCAATGATTGGCCTATTTTATAGATGTTTGCGTATTTAGAATATTCATACATTCAACTAAATTATTGAAAGTCAAAGTCCTAACCCTACCTAAGTAAACTCCATAGATTGGTCATTGCGAATCACTACAATACACCTAATATTCGCTTTACTTTACTCTAAAGTTGCTAATAAATAAAACGTTGTAAATAGGCAACACTTTTTGACTTGATCACTGTCATACATTTTAAGTCCCATTTGATCATTATTCACACACAGTTAATACGTGGTTGTATATAACTTGATTATCCCACTAATAAAGAATAAAAAATCTACTATTAGAATGCTGAAGTAATGTTTAAAATATCTCTATAGGGAAACATATGCAGGCGGAGTTAAACATATGCATTTGTAAGATGTTATTAACCAACCATAGCTATTTATTACGGTCGTATAATTAAGAAAGATACTATACAGGAATTGCATAGTCAAACAATAAACGTTGTTCAGAAATATAAACACAATAATATAACTCACTTTTATACAATCTGAACTGGCTAAACCTTGATCTATGGTACGTATAGGGCCATTAGGTTGAGGTAGAAGTACAGACATTTCAATATGTGATGGTGATTCTTGCTTTGAAGTTAAAAGTAATTAAATAAGTATGCAAAGTAAATAACAAAAACATGCAATTTACTTTGTTTCCAATACGTCTTATTGATCATAAGGGAATGTTGGATTCATGTCTGATTCATTACAATAATGCATACAAAAAGCACATCACTATTTTTAAAAAGAGTTAAGATCATCCTGTTGTTGATAAATTAGACTGGATTTTCATCAGTCTTTGTTAAAATATGTACATTCTGTACAGATTGCCTCGATGTACCCGTTTTTTTACAAGTTTTTTTTAATCGAATATACGGATTGTGTCTAGTAGTGCCATTCAGAATTCACATTTCATTCTATTCGGTATTAATCAGGCGGATGTGATTAGATGTCAGTATTGATGTTTATCCCGGAATAACTTAAACCATTTCCGCTAGTGATACAAATGTCATACTCGTTTCACAAGGAAGTGGGAATTAGGGTCGAGGTTGTGAACATCAACACCGGAAGGAAGATATATCCAACTAACTAGTTTCAAATAGGTCAAGAACACGCGTTCTGGAATTCACTGCCAAACACAAATTCATTTATTCTGCTAATAGTAATTTATTTTTTTCTGCCTAATCTGATTGGACCTCATATTAAGTGTAAACTGCATAAAGTCAATATAAAAGAATCTATTATGACAGACATTTTTATGAAAATGAAATACTGTAATTACACAGATATTATACAGAATTACTAATCTGAGGTATAACCTTTTACTAAATCATGTTTCAGAACATGCCGCATATTCCATAATGAATGACTGAAAATCACTGTCATAAATTTGTTAATTTAATATTATTTATCATAAGATTTATGTCAAATTTATATTTCACAATTATAAAGCAAAATATTACAAGTTAAATAATGCGTTAAAATATGAATTCCTAAATTTCGGTTAAATGCTTATTTCAAAAATGCATCTTTTCAACACGCGCTAACTTCTACTGAAGAACCATTAAAGAATGAACAGAACTGAAAAACGACCTGATTTTTGATTGAGAGTTGCCAGATATCTTTCCATTCGACGTCGAATGCAACAGAACCTGAAACTATTTAGACCATCCACTATGTACAATAACATTTAGTTAACGCAACGCAATTACGTGCTTTATGTTTTTCGTTATAGCCAATTTAATTTATTTCAGGACTTCGTACTAATGCATATTTAAATAACTTCTAATTATCCATCTATCAACCTAACCTACTTAACAATAAATCTTGAGAATACAATGATTTTTAGTGAATACTAAAATAACTTAATTACATTCTGAATATGCATTTCTTGCAGTCATGAAAAGCAATACAAAGGTAAAATAATATTGTGTTTGTAAACCTACACTTTTTACAAGCTGTTTAGTCTTTTTCTTCTTATCATCATGTATAATAATAGGTGAACAAAATGACGGTGATGATGGTGACGATGAACGATGATCACTTGAAGGAATAGTTTCAGAAACTATTTGAATATTATCTATTGGACATTCATTTGTCTGAATAACTGTTGAATAAGGAAATACTTTCGTCTTTTTCAAATAATCTACAATTTCATCTAATGTTCCACGACGTGCAGCCATTGCTAATCGCATATAATGATCACCATATTCACCACAAGCCACTTCCATAACTGTTACGTAATGTTAATAAAGAATAGATAATGTGGAATTAATCGTTGTTCATTTGTGACCATATGAACTCAAACAAATAAAGTTTAACTATTTATATGATAAGGATGTTTTGATCATCTAAATGGTTTAGTAAGTTAGAATTTACCATCCAATGAATATACATAATAATTTACTTATGATAATAGTAATGGCAAATATAAGGGGAGTAAATTGTAATAATTTTGTTATTTCAAGCAATTTAGGTTGAACCTAATTATCAGACAGAACAAGATACCTTGAAGCTGTTAAGTTAAATTTATCAGACGAGTTCGGAACAGCATAAAATATGTGATCTGAATTTCGAAGCTAAATACCATTAAAAACACATCTAATTATAGAAACATTCCATTACTTTTTCCTCCCCAAGATTTTATTTGTCATTATATTCACAAAAAAATAAATCATATTTATTAAAACAGGTTAAGTAATGAACGTTTTGAAGTTAAGAGTACATTACCAGATAGCATGTAATGAATGACTCAAATTATAAGCTACATACATTTTTGTCTGAATAGATTTCACTCTTATATAACATAAAGTTATAAAAAAATGATGTAAAACATTTGTATTGGAAAACAATTTGTTTGCGACCATCTCTATACAAATATAATATTCATTTTCACGGATTACGTATTCATTCACTTAACGTGTATCTAGCAACAAGTGTCATCAATCTGAGTGTGATTAACATTCCAAAATCCATTCATATATACGAGTTTCACATTAAATATACGTATATAATTATTTTAAAATTAATTAATTCATTAATTTCATTGCATTCGTTGTTCTCCCAAACTTCTGTTGTAAATAGTATTGATACAGTAGAACAATTAGCATAAACTCTCTTAAGCTAATAAACCAAAGAGTTAATTGTAACTAATTGTAATAGGATTTTCCGAAGTTTGTTAGCTTCGAGCGATATCCAGTAGCATTTATGTACATAATTACTTGAAATAGATTGATTCGTTAATCATACAGTCATATTCTGCACACAAAATTGAACAACTGACTAGTTACATTACCTTAAGAGTAATTAACATATGACTGATTTGTTTGTTATTAAATTTTATTGAATGTGTATGCCAAACAGAGAGATTTGAATTTAATTATTGAAAAATAATAACTTACAATAATCAGCAGGATTATGATAAGATGGGCAAATTAAATCTTGTGATGCGAGGTAAGGGACTAAACATGAAACAGGTCCTCTATAAATACAGTGACCATCAGTTAAGAAGTATAACTGCAAATGAAAAGAATACAGTAAGTATGAATTAATAAATGAACTAACTGAGAGCATGTAAATGCTATCTGATGAACTGTTATTATCATCGTTTCCCTTTATATTTACTTCTCACCTACACGACTAAAAGATGTCATCTAGCCTTTGTTGAAACCTGAAGGTCTTTGGTTCGGTCTCCAGTGGTTTCGTAGATGCTGATGAGTACTATACTAAGACATAATAGCTATCAAGTGCTTCTTGGTTTTTGGGTAGTGGTCTAGTGAAGATCGATTTGTAATCTAAACTATGAAAATGAATATTCTTATCCATTTTCAAAGTAAGAAACCTTACTAATAAAAATACTTAAGACAGACTTGAAAGTTAGACAAATACAACAAAATACACGCATTATAATTGAATTTTTTAAATCTAGTGACCCTGTTTTATCTTAATCAGTTCCTTGAACAGTGAAAGTGAATCAATTGGTTAAATGAAACACCAAAATGATCGAAATCGATTAAGTAGGTTAACTTTAGACATAAATACGAAGAACAAGAATGTAAAGCTGTAACGTCAGTTCATGTGTTCCTTTTCCGATGTTCCCTTCACTATTCTTCTGAAGCTTCTTTTGTTTATTCATCGATTAATATTTACCAAAGAATTTGTGATTTTTACTATTGTTTTTCCTGATCAATTAAGAGGGTAATGGAATTTCAAACGTATACATCCATACAGATTCGTTTGTTAGCCCAAACAAATCAGTGAATTATGTTAACAAAATTAAAATAGAATGTTTTCATGATTGATTAGTTAACAATTAAGCCTATTGATTTCTCGTTTGTGTAAAAGGATATTTGAGGATAAATCTTTGATTCAGCAGTTATTTCTGTTTTCTTGTCATTTTTTTAAGCTGTTATTATTATTGCTATCGGTCTAATCAATTAATTGAATGTACTAATCATGAGGAAATGACAGATCATTGTTTAATATATATATATATATATATATATATATATATATATATATATATATATATATATATATATATATATATACCAGTTAGTTACAAACTGTTACGATAAAAAGTAACGTTGCTTCGCAGAAATAAATAAAATATGAAAATGAATTTTCATGTAAAATACCAAATGACTGTAGATTGAATACACCAGTAAATAACAAGAAACAGATTGAATTCCGGTGTTGATTATAGTACTAAAGATGTACAAGTCACTAAGTCAAACGACATAATATGAATAAACTTTGTTCGATAATTCGTATCACTTTCGTCGGTGTTAATACTGTATGCTCATGAAGAAATGAAACACAATGAAGTATCGATTGTCAGTTGATCTGAAAACCTTTGACGTGTATTTTTGGCAAAATCGCAAATTTTGTTGGGTCTTAGGAGGCCAGTTTCAAAACAACCAGAGAGTTAATCAGACTTCCCACAGAGATACGATTGGGGAATCTGATGGATGATAAGCTGTTAAATGTTACTAGATGCTGGAATACATTAGAAGAGACTACATTAACTCATTACATTCATGACCATCATACTAAGTCTTCTCAACGCGGATGGTTTTATAGCTGATATTCTTTGAATGAAGAAAAATAAGAATGGAGATTAAAGTTAAATAACTGACAGATAACTTCAACAGTAATGTCCTCTCACTTTGGTCATATAGTTAAGCGTCAAAATAGCATAAACCCATATTTGCTTTGTGGTTTAAGTAACTGTAATATTTTCCCGATTGTTTAAATAGTTACTTTAATTAATGTCAATACAGAAAATTTACCAAGATAGTCAATAAGTGAATAAAATCCATTATTAATCTTGATAAGTTCTGTTTTGATTTCCTAAAATATAATGTACTCTAATGTTAACATGATGTACATCCTCTGATATAATAAATTTATGGAAACGATTTGCAGAACATCATTCATAACTTAAGATATTATCTTATACATTTTGCAATTATTCTACCATAGCATGATGTATAACCGTTCATGGGTTGTTTCAATAATGGCAAGATCAAGTAAATTCGTAAATTTCAGATGGAAAAACTTGGAGAACTCATACAACAATGCACTTAGCTTGTTAAGTCTGAACAATATTTGTTTTTGGAACATAAGAACATTTGCATTGTGGAAGGAGTTGTAGTACAGGTGGTTCATTTCACTGGTTGCCCTGGTCAAATATTTTTGTGAAACTTTCATTTTTGCACCAACTATTGTTGTCACAGTAAATAGAGTGACTGAACGCTCTGACTACCTAAGCTTCAAGTCGTTTTTACTACAAATGAAATAACTTTTCTTATAAACTGATGAACCGTTAATAAAAAGAACAGCTAAACCAGGAATGAAACTGCCCCGAGAATTGATCTCTTATCAGAGGATTTCTTTGTCCGTTTAAAATATGTAAACGATGTCGTATTATTCGGCGAAGACTGACAAATTTAGAATCTTCTGATCACCATGAACAACAGCCAAAGATTTTGGGAATGAATTCTTCTCCATTTCAATTGAAAATATGGATTTAAGACAGATTTCAGCCAACCTTTAGACTAAAATTACGGAAATAAGTTATTGAGCTCCCCAACCACTTTATCTATCTTACGGCTCTGGTCACTCATGTTGGGTTAGTACTTGACGAAATCTTAGCAAGCATTCACAAAGGTTGGTTGGCTCTTGCCGATCGGCGTGGGGAAGATGTTCGTCTACCGACCAAAGAATGAATATATGGCACAGTAGTATTTTTTGTTTCTGTGAAACATTGTCTTGAGAATTAGAGGACATTCAAAGTTTCCAGTTACTTGACCATAAGTGTCTCCAAGCACTCGAACCACTAGGTGAGCATTAGGTAAAAACGAAGATCCGGTCATTAAGGTTTTAAATATTCATCAACTGATCCAGTTGAGACATGTATTAATGTTGTCCAGCTATCACCCACCAATCTTGAGAATGTTGGCTGGATTAAGATTAAGTTGGAAAGAGTCTAATGACAGTCCAACCTGACCCGGTTCATATTAGCAGGTGCAGGTTATCTGATAAGTGCCCTCGCGACTGTCGAGACCAGCAAATTACGTATTTTTTCTTGAATCACATTCTATATATCTAGCGTGACTTTGCTAACACCGATACTGTTGTAGTAAACTAACCTATTGATTAATGCCTTGATTACACAGAAATTTTCGTAAAATATGAAAACCATACATTAAAAAACATTATTTGCAAATATTCCTTCAGTTGTCCCCCATATACTTCATGATTCTTCCAATTCTGTTGTCATTCCAATTGCTCACCGTTTCGCTTCTTATTCACCCCAATTCAATTTTCTGCTGGCAAGTATTCCACTTCTGCCTGCTGCTGCGTACTAATTATATCTTTTAGCATAAACAGCATAAACTACACTGATACTACCTTTAGTTCTTTGATATCAACTTAGATAATTCTATCTTGTTGCATGGATTTGGTGTGGTAAATTGAGCCAGCACACATACTCACAACGTTCTGTGTTACTTTTGACTAAGTTTATGTTTTATTTCATTTAATGACTATTCAATGTTAGTAAATTCTAAATATTTTAGCCTCTGCTTCAGGTTAACTGACAAAAATAATTTAGTTAACTTTATAGTTAATATCTGATTTATCTTTGTGTTTACACCTTTCTATTTTTTCAAACTTTATTATCCGGTCAAAAATATTTATCACGTCAGTTTCAATAATTTACAGATGAATTAGGTGTTGATTGACAAAATAAATTAACATCTGTTCACTATTTAATAAGTATTTTTACTTGATTGTAAGGATGCCTAGATATCTCATCACTGTATATATGTATATAGGTTTGAGTGAATTTTTCTAATTACCAAGCATGTTTTTTTATTGTTTTTGCATACAGCGAATTAGTGTGCGTTAGCGTTTATCTGAAATGTGTATTTGAAAATGAAATAAAACCCCACGAATAAAATAAAATCTCTATAAAAGCCATTTAGCACTAAAATAAGGTTTACCAGTTCAACGGGGCTGGGTCACAATAGGCAACTATATCTTCAGATTATTTAAGTGAGTTGGGGATTAAATATGAAGTAGCAAAGGACATTTCACAGAGTCCTGTGTTAATCTACTGCGTATACATATCTGTGTAAACATAGGATTATTCGAGACCAGATATACTCTTCAAGGACAAACTATATCTGTTACGAGAACAATGTTCAATAATCCCAACGAACTACTTAATCAGAACTTATCGTTGCAAACATTATCCTTCAGTACGTGATCTTCGTATAAGGACTACCTATTAACATCAGTGGCTGATAAAGATGTTAACAAAAACAGTTAATTTTTTTAAACTGACATTTTGTTCGTCATTCAAAATTTTCAGCTCATTTTGATGAAGTCACATTATTTAACAGAATATCGGTAACATAATTATAAACATCATATAGGATGCAGATTTAGTTTGGCAAAGCTACATGTAGTTACAATCCAGTCCACTATGAGAAAGCGATTATCCCTTTTTTTTAACGACGAAGTGGTAATTTTAAAAATTATATTCTACTCTATTTCCGGTACAATGACAATCGACAGACTTTTGATTAACATGATTTTCTTGGTGTTTTTATGAATTCTCTTAAGGATAACTTCTAGAATTTATAGGTGTAAAAGATTATATTAGTAATATACTTAGATGTCTCTAAATCCTGAAAAGAAAACAGATGCAAAGATTTCATTATTTTTAAAGATATGAATGCATGTTAGCTTTCATATTCACTCGTAGTCTACATTAATTTCGAATAGTGTTTTGGATGAGTGAATTCAAATGAAAACTTGAAAGTAATCAGAATAATAAGTGGTAGAGGTTAATTGTAATCAGACATTAATCAAGCAAAAACTGTCAGGAATTATGAATCCATAATGCTTATTGTATGGGAATCAAGTGAACACTTATTGGACATTTTTGAAAATATAGATGAAATTAACTACAACTAAGTTAAATGAGACTACTTAGACAAGGATTGATTAATACTTCACTAATTAGTCGACTACAGTCTCTAAAAAAGTATCTTTGTGTTGATGAACATTGTATTTTTGTTAAAAGTTTAAATGGTTGAAAGGTTAACATTTAACACGTTAGCTGACATTGACCAAAAACTACAACATTAAATTTACGACTGTGGTTGAAAACCGGAAAGAGAATGAAAGATTTTAAATATATATTAAACATGCAACATTATCATTGCTTCTACCACTTATATTTAGTAATGGGAGCAAGAACATTTTAATTTTAAATGAAAAAATTATCTGAACATCCACTTCTAGCTAAATGGTAATTAGATTAATATTGTTCATAACAGTTTGTAGAAAACATAAATTTTTGAAACAACATGAAACACTACTACAACAGTGAACAAAGTTCAAAGTACCAGTCGGTAAGAACATCACTGAGTAAATAGTTCAATAGTTTGTCAATTCAAACCTTAAGAAGACTATGGGTAAAATGTATATGTGGAATGGAAGCAGTCATCTACTCAAAAGTTACTAACAACTTAAAACAGCATACAGTATTTATAGTAATAAAGAAATTCTTCGCGGTGATATCATGTTAATAAAAGTTGCCAGATTCAACCACAGGAAATAATCACACATTCAGTAGACAGTTTTGAGATGGAAGACAAAGATTTTCTTGGGTATTCGCAATACCATTTAACAAGTTAGGCTTGGACATGGTTTACAGTTGATCAACTCAGCTAGATTATAAGAATCAGAATCTAACATTTCCATTAAAACTGGGCAGATTTTAGCTCATGAGTCATACAAAAAAATATTCATTTATATTATCAATATCAAATGTGATCAATCAATTATTTCTGTTGCAACTCACGGCTGATATATTATTATGATCATTATTTTCTGTCTATCTATCTTAAAGTGATTAGTGTTTCCTTTCAGAATTTAAGCTAAACAAGGTGACTTGAAAGTCATAGATCGTTCAAAAGACAGGAGAATTGCAGGTCAAAGAGTGGATTTCTGAAATTATTTACCAACATTTTGGGTCTCAAACATTTCCACAACACTGAGATACATCAATATATATTTATTTAGATCATGTGATTATAAATTATTTCACAACAATAACAACGGTAAAAGGGTTATTCCAAATCATGGATACTAGAACATTTTATACTAAACTGTTTTAATCACACGTGTCAAAGTTCAAAATTCACACCTCTATGGCTTTAGGATTTCCATAGGAATGTGTTAACATGGGACATATTTTTAAAGTTATCGTTAATAAATTTTGAATTTCATTATAACCAAATAAAAATCCTAAGACATGATAGGAAACGCCTCACTAAATAGTTCTACAGAATCACTGGACGGCCGTCGTATACAGGACTCCTAAGCAGTGCGCATCCACGATTTCGCACGCGATACTTGAACACAGGGCCTTTGGTCTCGCGTGAGAATGCTCAACCTCTAGACTACTGAGCCGGCATCCAATAGTGTTAATATCTAACTTCAATCAACCCGTGATGGATTCATGAATTCAACCGTCAAAATACTACAATCTCCACAAATCCACATACTGATATAAGTACAGAATTTCGATTTGAACACTTCTAACAAATTAAACATTGAGTCATTTATTTATATTAGAAATGACAAATTTATACGGCCCAATAAATAGGAAAAGTCCTTTCGGAGTAGTTTAACTCATGGAATTTATCTTTGAAAGAACAAACAAACTCCAGAAATTAATATACTTTTAAGTAGCAAAAAGTGAATATGATCATATTACCAGTGAATATCAACAACTAGAAGGGTGCTTCTGCAATATGCTGAGTATGAATGAATGCGAGATTTAAATTATGATTGGTGGATTCAGTTTTTATTATATTAGTTACGAGTTAATTATCCCGTTGTTTAATATATTCACCTTTTATAAAATGATCAATGTTTATTACATAGTTTTTATTTTGGGAGTAAATTTACTTCACGACAATGGTTGTCCCTATTATGTAATGTACTATTGAAAGATCATTATTATGAAATGAAGTAAAACGAACCCTAGAATAGAATTCCAAATTTCTAACATTTTTTCAAAATATGCAAATTTGTGGTTAATCACAGACTTTAAACTCACATGGTCAAATAGTTCGAATATTTTTGCACTCGGTTGGTGTATTGTACAAATTATTGTTCGACCACCACGTGCCAAGCGACGTAACAATGAGATGCAATGAAAACATGAAGCACTATCCAAACCACTGAAAGAGAGAGCGTTTGAATGAGATGAAATTTCTGTTTCACAACAGTAATGATTTATCTGATTATTCATTGACCAATAATGGAGTAATCACAGTGATAAAGTCAGTGAATTCGGAAAGATTTAAATTACTTAATAAATAAACCTGTTCTCATTCACAAAGTCGCACTGACGTAAGCCTACGAAAGTTCACCATTATTTAATGCGATATCCGGTATCCATATGTATCTATCTATCCTGTAAACAAAATGGAGTTATTATGATTTATGAAAGGACGTTGATGTCAACCGTTAAGCGATAAATTAATAAAAATGTTTAACTTTGGCTTCTTACTTGCTCAACGTGCTATTATTACCCATCTGCTAAGATTATTTATCTATTTTGTTAGGATTTTTTAACATTGTCCCTCAGTATATTCATGCGATCAGTGGACTGTTCAGAATATCTTGGGTTGGATAGTCACGTAATAAACTGAGAGCCTCTAGATAAAAATAATAATTTCAAGTTTCCCATGTTGCTTCCTTGTAATGTGATTTGTTTCCAACAAATAGCTGTGAAAACTCAACAAAACCTCAGAGAGATCATCTAAAGAATAAATTTTCTAGCAGCGACCTCATTTAAATATAGTTAGACGATAAATGTAGATTGCTTAGAAAACAGAATAGATTTTAACAAAAGTTCTAGATCTGTAGGAAGCGTTTACTAAAATTTACTAATTCAGCGTAACGATTATCCGAAAATCTAAAATGTTCTCACAACGCTGAAGATGCCCTGCACTCTGTCGAAGTCATAGAGACGATAATTAAGCCAACTAAACTTACTCAGAATTGGCACGGAATAATCTCAGTCCGATAATCTAAGGTGTAAAGCCTATTGAAGTTTCATTTGGGGATTGATAATAATCATTTAAGGTATATGAGATTATAGTTGCTGCTTCAAATTAATGTCAATCATTATTTCACTACGCATTTCTTACATTTTCATGTACAACTCTTAAGTAGTAAACAAATTAAACTTTTAATAATCAATTATTCATATTTGACTTTAATCATCATCATGATCTCCAATATCTTATGGGAGAATGATCAAAAACGAATTCTTCTCATTGAAAGTACATGACACTTTTTAACCATAATTTACTGTAGTTAAGGAATTATTAATAATGTGTTTCTGTAGTCTTGACAACAGGATAAATGCAGGACTAAGATTATTTTTTTCAAGAATATCTAATTTCACATCACAACCATTTTTAGAACAGCTTATTTGCAACAAAATCTCTCAAGGTAATTGTTGAAATAAGTGAACAGTCAATTATTTTTAATCTATCTATTTGCCTCAAAAAAAGCTTCATGCTCGAAACAGTAAATGTCTTACAAAATATTGTTGAGCATAAATTTAAATGCAGAAAGAATTATTTTAATTATGTTGCTGATTACTCGGGTGAATCGGTAGAATACTGAAATGATTTAGATGATTAGGCTAATAATTCTACGTCTCCAGTGAGCACCAAATTACAACCGAACAATCATTTTAGAGATAGAACCACCAGTCTTCTACTAACTAATAGTGTGAATATGTACTGATCGAATAAAGCAAATACTATTTGTATAGAAAATCTTCAAAAAGATTAAATAACATGAGAACGATTCATTTAGCAAACATTACACAGTTAATCAAGTATGAAAGTAATTATATACGTGGTATAATTTGATGTACATGTAATAAGAATACCATAGAATAATGCGAAGACGGAGTTGACCTGAAAAATGTGATGTATTTTGCGCCAAGGATTTTGAACAATCTGGTCACACTTATACATATCAAGACATTTTATATGAAAATTAATAAAGGTGAATTAAATGAAAGTCAAAGTAAACAATGTATTGATTGTAAATAAAGGAGAGAAAATTAACACAGTATTGAACGATTAGGAAATTTTAGCATTAGCCTATTCTTTAAAATGATTTGAAGATTGGTAGGTCGAATTCAAGGTTAGAACTACTCGTTGCTGCACACATAAGAGGGGTTTGATTTACGAATAGCCAAAGGTTATATAAATCTAATAATTCATCCTTGACGATTTCAATACAATATTTTGAAAGCCGTATGGATGTTGATTCTATGTTCCGTTTCAACCACATACTTTCTTACCGATGAACATGGTTTACTACTTCCACATTTATCGGAACACTTGACACCAACTGATTTTGAAGCCATCTCGGCACATGTTTCATAATTCTTTATTGTATCGTTCGATTGCTGCTCCCTATACAGTGTGTCCAAACAATATATAAATTGGTTAATGCAATTGGATGTGACGTAATCACTCGTACAATGTCAAGGCCTATCCGGAATAATGGGCTTTGTCTTTTTATTCACAACATTTAAACAGCATAGTATGTTTTCTCGAGGGCTGCTTATGGTGAAAGACGTGTTCTAAAGAGCTAAGACTTGTAATTGAACGAACTGAATTACAATAACTTAAGTAATTAAATAAAGACGGGACACATACGACGAGTATGGAAGATTGATTAAACCTTAGACTTTTGGGAATATAACTTTTAACTAAGATACGTAGGATGGGGTGAACAAAGTCGATCCGAAAATATAAGAACTAGGTAGGGTCATATAAAATAGTTTTTGAGTTCCACTCAATGTTGGTGCAAACTCCTATAACAGGCTGATTGAGTAAAGCAACGATTTACCGAAGGAAACAATATTTTAAACTTGCTAAATTCGGTCTGAACAAGTGAGGAAATTCCCACTTTTGATTAAACTAAGAAAGAAGGATAGAACAAATTTATTACAGAATTGGGCAGATAAAGTCATGATGAGTAACTGATAATCTAACAGTAGTGCGATATTTTGGAAATCGAAATGCTCTGAAATAGCATAATTAAGTGATTAATTATGAAAAACTCTTGAGAACTCCAATCATCAACTTCATGACATCTCTGAACATCGTCAAAAGAGTACTTACTTGGAAGAAATTAAGATAAGTAGAAATTTTCTTAGGTAAACAGAAAAGTCATCATAATTCAAAATATGCTCAAAAGTCAACCATTTCTTTATATTGTGTGAACTCTGTTAACAGCTTTAATTTTGACAATGGTAGAGGTCTTCTAAAATGTCGTGCTAATAAGCTATTTCAAATAAAATCCAACAAAGATGCATTGAATGCTAGCTCTGTTCCATGTCTTCCATAAATTTCAACTTACCTATTGTGACAAACAAACTCATATTGAAAAAGAAGGAACATTATTTCTACTCTTAACAAAGCATTAACTAATTTTCAACTACTTAAAACAGAATTGCTAACCAGTGAAACACTGGATACGCTATTCAGATAAAATAATGAAAGTCAATAAGACAATTTTATCTCATTTTTATCTGTTGAAAAGACAAATCGAAAGCATGGTAATACGTTATCTTGAAGGCAGTTAAAAGTAGGTTACTAAGATCTAAATAATGTGTGACTTATTGTTTAAAATCTAGTTTCCAGTGGACTTATGACTATTTTATACATTTCATTACTGTAAATTTTTGAGTGATATATTTATTTATTTCCTCGAAAATCGTAACCTAGTGAGAGGGACTATTCTTTTATTTAACAATATGAATCTATGTAAAGCTGATACAACGATGCCTGTTAATAATTCGAAAGGACTTTATTCAACTGGTTAAACCATGAAGTCAGTAATAGCTATCACCTACCATTTAAATTACTGAAGACACTTATTATTACCCATGTATATTTCAACCTAGATTTTGCCTAACATAATTTTAAACTCATCAGTATATTCTATTGTAGTTAAAGTAATTGAACTGGTTACATTTTGAGTAATGACAATGATGAGATTATGTGAAAATATCTAATGGTATTGTAAATTTTAGAAATCTAAGATATAACCTAGTTTTATATATCCAACTCTTGACATAAAATTATCTCAAGTATCTGTTTTACAAAAGTAGAAAATTTCCTCATAGTAATTATAACACATTCTTGGCTGAACTATCACGCTAAAACTAGAACAATAGAGGTACGGCGAGAAATAACTCCACTTTAAAATGTGGACTGAAAACTAATGCATTCACAATATTTTAATTAGTCATTATTTTAAAGTAACACTGTTTTGATAATAAGCCTACATGTACAAAATACTTTTTTACTTCATTTATTCAAACGTGACATTCTATCTAACCAACATTTCTTGTGGTAGATATATTTTATACACATTCGAATATTTAACACAACTGTTAAGTAATTTACGTTTTAGGTAGCTTGCATGAATTACAATTGCTTGGGCATTTGCTAGTTCTCCGCCTTATAAGTTGCTTGCATAGTCAAATACAATTTTCAATCCTTTGACTGTCTTTATTAAGCGCTATCTAACAAATGTAGTGATAATAGTGTGAGAGGGTATAAGTACTGCAAAGATATTTTAGATCAAAAGTCATAAGAGTTGGATCAAGTTAACAGATTCCTCAAACTCCAATAATGTTTGCATGACAAAATATTCCTTCCTTAAATATCTACATATGCCACTTGTAGACTCTGGTAACTCATCGTACTTAGTTCGTTGATAATTTATTTGAATAATGTAAATTTTGTTGTCACCATTATTCTAAAAGCTACCGGAAATTATATGACAGTTTTCTCTTGATATGGGACCTCTGAACCGTCGTGTGATCAGAACTATGCTTGAACTATAGAACTAAAAGGTTAAGACTGTGTCATAACAAAATGCTACTGGAAATGTTTATTAAAAGACTATATTTAATCTTCATGGTTATTTAAATAGAAACATTAACAAATTATATTAAACAATAAACAAAATGGTTTTATTTTCTTAAGTCATGTATATTCTACTGCCCCTTGGGCAACTGTTATTTATTTAATTTCAACATCGTTATTGTTGACATTTATTTTCACTTTATTTACATACTAGTAGAAGGTATGGGAGCATAGATCGATGCAAATTATTAGTGTTGAAATTCCTATTTTTCACCATACCTGTTTGTGTGTCAATATTTCGGACATTTTTATACTTCCGTATTGCACGGACTAACATTTATACGTTATGAACTAACCCAAAACTGCTGAGAAAGAGCAAAACATCAATTCTGGAATATATTTATGTAAATAAATCATTGAAATTAAGTACATTTACTAAAATTAACAATCTCGCCATATAGCCTTTATCTAATCATAAGTAAAATGAAATAACGAATATATAAGTTTTATTAGATAACCTACGAATATTGATTAAAGGCAAAACTCATGGGAACTTAATAGATTATTCTTTTAAATGTTAGAGACGATTTATTAAGGACTGAATCGCCGTTAGACCTGCTGTAGAATACTTAAGTAGGGAACGTGGAAATACTCATATTTCAAAGCTCGGTCTTTGAGAATATGAAAGAGTTATCTAAAAATCTTTTATTAACAGCTTTTTATATAGATACAAAAGCACTAGTACATAAAATTTATACATATGTACGCTGTTCACTGATTTTATTTTTTTAGACCATACTGTAGACTCGTAAGTAAGCCAATTTTTAGAAGTTTTTTGTCATCGTGCAATTCCATAACCGTAATCACTTCATCGTGAAAAGATTTTTACATCACTGGGGGTTTTAATACAATAAATTTAAATGCTACTTAAGATTCTCCAATGATACAAGTTAAACGAGCATTTTCTGCAAAATAAAATTACCAAGACAGATCTTAGAGTTGTGTAGGTAGCGAACAAGGTCAGACATAAAAAAACCCAGGTTCTATGAGAAAACAAACAGTAAATATACCTGCTCCATTGTGCACAATCTTGAGTCATACCAGCCAGTCGCGATCTATCGGTTATTACGACTGCGCAAACCCTTGGTAGGTAAGTTGCACCTACAACATAATTCAGTTCATCGGTTAGTGACTTAATGGACTGATGTCACGTTTTGGACTAGTCATCAGTAATTATCTTACAATCTACCTCTACAACTGTAAATATTGCTCAACTTTGTAGGAGATGGTTAGGGATATGTAACACATATCTAAAACACTTCAATTAATAGAGATTCTCCGCCTTGCCAACTTATTTATCATCTCTAGCTAGTACCCTAAGCATAATGTAGCAGTTCTGACTCATCTACAGTACAAATCATTTCAACGTTTTACAGCTAAAAATGAAGCCTTAAAAATAAATAAAGCCAACCAGGCATGAACTTACCTTGTGGGCTCATCAAAAAACATTATTGGAGGGTTGTTAACTAATTCCTGAGCAATAGCCAGTCGTTTCTTTTGACCGCCAGACAGTTGTGAAGTTCGAGTATGTACGGCTTCTCTTAGACCAAGAAGGCTTATAATATTATCAACCTAATAAAAATCAATCGAAAATGTAAGATAGCATCAAAAAGAAGATGAACTATGTGGAAATTTATTCGGTAAATTAAGTCGATTGTATGATCAATGCAGTAGTGATATAAGAACTATTTGATATCGCTGTAAATACTGTAACTTATTTCCATCATTTGTTTGTTAATTTTTTTATGGTTATAAAACTTGGCATCCAGTAAAAATAGTAATGTTGATTTTGCATTTACTCGCAACAACATTTGTTCGTTGTTTTCAAGTCAAGTAAACTTAGCTCTGAAAACGCAGAAAGTTGCAGTATAGTAACCAGTTTATAACCTAATTAACTATTTAAACTAATGTTAATAGACTCCCTCTCACAAAACACCTGTTATAGCAGAATAATTTTTATGTCGACTATGTAGAAGGTGCACAAGCAGGCTGACATAAGGTGCCAGCATTTATCATCCATAAACCATTTTACTTTTTTGTCAAGTAGCACAAATGAGCGAATAAACAATATTAAAAGTCGAATAAATGTAAATCATTGTAAAAAATGCAGTCTGTTGGTCACTCGATTGCTTTTGAGGTATAAAACATAACAACTTGGCTATATTCTTGCCCAAAGGTCGCTTAAAGTTTTCCTTAAGTTACAGAATTTTGACGTCATTTTTGACGACAACAACAAACTTTAAACATTTCATTAGACTAAAGTCAATTTGATCCACATTAAAAACTTCGTTAGTAGCTGTATACAGATTACATTTAAGGTGAACATTTATACTAGAAAGATTTATTAGTTTAAATGGAAGGGCTGCTCCAATTTAGCCCACAGTTTATATCACAAACGGATATTACACCACCTTGTTAATAAGACTGAATGTTAAAAATATTTTATATATTGCTGAAATAACTTCGTTCAAGCAACGAGTTAGGAAGTTTTTAATGTTATTATCCCATAGAAGCTAGGTTTTGTAATGTTTCGCTATCCAAACGCTAGGTAATCTGGCGGCTTTTTAAGTACTTAGGTAAAAAGGCGCTAAACTTTAACACGTGAAAAGGCAGCTACACTAAACTATCGAAAACTCATAACAAATTTTATCTAATCAAAGTACCAGTACATACACTAACCGCAAAATTTTAGAGAAGATCGGCGTATAAACAATTTAAAAAAGTTTGTATTTTAGCATGGTCTTCTAATATCAAACAACATTTGATATAAATAAACATTTATGGTTAGTAATAAAAATCTAAAAGGGTTACCGTGTTATTGATGATAAAGACTCAACATCGAATTGATCACCAATAAAAGATATTAGATGTCTTGATACAAATAACACAATTTACATGAAATGCAAACCTCAACTGAGAGTGCTGATAGACAGTCAATAGGGATAGTTTTTCGTTCCACAATATTGCGTTTCAGTTGGGTAGTCTAATTTCCTCCATCAACACTGTGCCAGAGCTCTCTTTTTAAAGAAGATGGTTTTCAACAGACAAAACGTGTAGTGAGACCTTAGGTTGTTCTTACTTAAGTAACTGATATATCCTATACCTCCAAATGTACACTAAATTCTAAACAAATAACTATTGCAATAAATTGGAAAACATGTGATGACTAGTAGTAAAGAAAGAACAGATTTTCATGACAAGGTCAGTTGTGAGATTATGCGACCAGCTATTATACAACCACACATGTGTCTTCTTTATACCCAAACTTATATTATGGTTTTTTATGATGTATGAGAAATATTATTACTACACTATTACCAAGACTTTCACAACTGTCAATTTATCATATGTCTAAACTATTCTATTCCGAGAGACCCACTTAGTGATTTCACGAACAATTGATATCAAAATAAAGTAATCAAAACCAAACTTTAAAATGCAGAGCAAAACCGACGGCTGCGACTAATAAAACGCAATGATTATGGAAGATAATGACAAATGCAGGCATTTTTAATGATTATCTTGTAATACACAAATAATACCAAGTAATTCTGACCAAAAATAAAAGACCATATTATGATATTCACAAAAGTAAGAGGTCATCAGATACACGTCTTATACAGAGAGCCCACTCATGGATATACCCTGAAAATATCCTTTATCATTCCCCAAGGTGAAAGATTTGTATGTGGTACACTTTTACTGACATAAGTCTTAGTTTTGCTAAAATCTGTTCATCTCACTGCTTAATAATTTGACCAAATTAACAATAAAGCGCTGAGTAAGAGCAAGAAAACTTACTATTTTTCTTTTGGATGCATAGTTAGTCTTTTCACTTAATTTCAGGTTGGCACTACACATCATTGCCTCATCAACAGACAGATGAGGTAGTAACAAATCATCTTGCATTATGTAACACGACATTTTCCTGAACTGCTGCAGGTTTCTTAGTGAAGAGCCAATGATAACATCACCAATAACATTTTGCGTGCAGTATCCCGCCAGAATGTTCATGAGAGAACTCTTTCCAGCTCCACTAGGTCCCATAATTGCGCTCAGTTCCCCAGATTTAAACTCTCCAGATATTCCTTTGAGAATGAACTTTTTTCCGGCTTTACAACAGGTCAGTTGAGAATAATGAATCAATTACCTCTTCCTTGAATAACGAAATACTTCAAATCTTCAAATTTCAAATTTTTTATTTCGTTCGATTCCATGTTTACTATAGGTTGAAATTCATTATTTTCACTCCATGTAGTTGTCTTTTCATTCCCATTACAGACAGATAGTTGCATGTTCAGCTACATTTATGATTTTGGTTGATATCTCTGTTTTGGTAAACCAATGTCATTTTTGTACGAAAGATGCTTGTAACTTCAATATTGGTAGCTTTTTAACAGAGAGCTTAAGTTCAGTGAACTGAAAGATTCAAACAAAATATGAAGTATCGTTTGCAAGTAAAGGTTACTAACCAAAGAGGTTTCACATCAAATTGTTTTAAACATCGGAATATAATTTTGTGGTGAATGTACTTTGTTACAACTACAAATTATTAGTAATTATCGGGAAAATTATTATCACTTGACAGCTGTATGATACTGCATGTTATCTAAGACGTTATTCCCGTTACAGTTGCTATGGTTGTTTCAGTTTTTGTCCTGTGATGAGTTTTTCTGTCGGTGGAAATCACTGGATGTTGATCAATTTCATGTGTGTTCAATCAATTGTGATTACATCTCAGTCCTACAGGAGGTCGGTCGTGGCCCGGATAGCTCAGTGATAACGTTTCCGACGGTGAAGCTGTGTGACACGGGATCGAATCCATCAGGGAACACCAGTTCCCTCAAGATTACAGGTACACCTTACTGACGAGTGCCAAGTAGCACGAAACCCGGGTCCAGGGTGTCCTATCGACTATCTCCAACCACTATCTAATCTCACAATAGTACACGCAGTGTCAAGTCGCCTGGACTGGTGGTCATATTGCAAGATGATCGATAGCGTTCGATCTGCACTAATAAGAACTTGACACACATGACAATGATCACCACCCAGTGATCAATCAATTGTGATTAAAAGCCTTATACTAGGCGATTTTGATGCGCCGCATATCAGCTGAGTAAACTTAGAAGTAGAGCCGTCGAAAACTTCATTTGATTGCAAAGTCTTATTAACCTCAGTTGGATTATCTTTATTCCAAAACATTAGAAATCCATCCAGATCCGACATACGAAGCTCCTCTTCTCTTTTGAATTTACTCTTCTTACACGGTGATGACGTCTGTCAAATGACCTTCCTCCCACCACTAAGGAGAAGCGGTCATGTAGTCATATTATTTAAATTCACGGCTGAGATTGCCTGTCAAACAGCTGCGCCGGCCCGTCCTAATATATGGAAGGCAGATATGAAGGCAGTCAACCTAATTAAAGAAGGGAGTGAATCTGAAATGATAGAGAAAGATCAGGAAAAAGCAGAGGCTATAGCTGACTATGTTGGGGCAGTTTTCACCCAGGAACCTCGTCTAGACAAAGAACCAGACCAAAATAAAGGGTCAACAAACCACCTGCTCATCGTGGACTTCGATCAAGGCGATGTCATTAAGGCTCTTAGCACCTTAAACATGGAAAAGTTAACAGGACCAGATGAACTACACCCCCAAAATCTTGAGATATTTTGCACAATATATCGCGGCCCCACTGACTGTGATATTCAATATGTCACTTGACCAAGATGTGCTACCTATGGACTGACAGAAGGCGATCGTCACGCCCATACATAAAACAGGACCAAGACAAGTTCCATCGAACTACAGACCTGTAAGCCTCACCAGTGTTGTAGTTAAAATATTGGAAAGAATAGTCAAACGAACCACAATGGCATTTATGGAAACCAATAACTTGCTAAACATAGAACAACATAGTTTGGGAAAGGGTCTATCTTGTACAGCGAACCTCCCTATAGCAAGAGAATCTTGGATAAAGGTGCTAGACAACGGAAACTCAGTGGATGTTGTCTACATAGACTTCAGTAATGCTTTTGACAAGGTGTCAACTAATAGACTGCCATTGAAGTTAAAAAATTTTGATACTGCCGGACGTCTTTTAAAGTGGCTTACGGATTTCGCAATAGGTCGTAGACAGAAAGTAAGAATAAACTCCAAGTGCTCCATCTGGAGACCAGCACTTAGCGGAGTACCTCAAGGTTTCGTCCTAGGTCCTTTACTGTTTATACTCTATGTAAATGATCTCCCATGTATAGCACCATCTCCAACGTTATTGCACGCTGACGATGTAAAAATCTGGCAAGTAATAACCGGAGACGAGGATGCATGGGCACTTTAGGCAGACTTAAATAATATGATTAACTGGTCTAAAGAGTGCCTGATGCCTATCAACGCAGCAAAGTGTATCTACATACACTTTGGGGATACAAAGGTTAATAGGTACAGCATAGAGGACGTGCCTGTACCCGTGGTCTGGTCTCATAAGGGTATTGGGGTAACCGTGAGTCATGACGTTAAGACGACAGCCCATTGCCGAGAGGTTGCAGCTAAGGGGTTTAGAACCCTCTGGGCACTATGTTAGAAACTACCATGTTCACAACAGTATACACAACCTTGATGAGAATTTAGCTTGAGAACTGCGTTCATGCTGCAAACCCCTGTTTAAAAGGTGACTCGGATATCCTGGAGAAAGTACAGAGGGCTGCTACACGTGCAATTCCAAAACTCCGGGGTTTACCATACAAAAAGCCGCCTGAAAATCTGGACCTTTTTACTCTGTACTATCGCAGACAAAGGGGAGATCTGATTTGGTGTATAGAATACTAAGAAATGATTTTGAACCTAATATATCCTCTCTTTTTCTTCCCACTAGATTGAGATATCTCAGGGGAAATAGCGGGCGAGTAGAAAGGCCACACCGAGTCATTAATACTTGGAACCTGTTACCCGAGACAGCAGTGTCCGTCCCTTGAAGTGTCTCATTCAAGAGAAGACTGGATATTCATAGAAGCATACTGAAAGAGGAATAATATACATCATAGGCCTTCTGTCCTCACTACGCAAATCTGAATCTGAGTCTACCTTAGAATACTGTTGATTATCAGCATAGACAATCGAAGCCAACTCGAGCTGAACACTGATTACCCATATATTTGCAGGTCAGGGACTATCCAGGCTGAGACGTTATTGTAGTATGAATTTGACGCTAAGGGGTCATATCATTTTCGTCAAACTTCAGCAGAATAATACCCATGATATGGAGTCATCTATTTTTCAATGAGTATCAAGTACTTTTATTAAAAACTACTACTAATTGGGCATCAGCTGCCCAAACGTACAATATTAGTGTGAAGCATCCACATCAGCTGACAATTGGGTACGTCGAGCTACGCATCCCTTACAACTACTGACCAACTCAGATATAACGCTTCTCGATCTATCATCAGACTTCCAAACACACATTCGCACCACTTAACTTCTGACTTATGATTTGACTGGGTTGATAAACTTCGATTATACCAGTGTTACTACTAAGGATGTTTTTAAACTCCAAATATCTGTGGTATGCTAAGTGGTGCCCGACGCGATCTGATACACCAAACAGAGAGGTGTATGTTCCCTGTTGGAGCATTGTATATTGTTTTCATGTTTTTGGATATATATTCATCACAGAACTGACTCTCTAAGTTACTCAAGGTGAAAAATCTTTAGTCAAGCGCTTTGTAACTCATACCATTCTGGCTCTCTAACACAGAAACCTACTTCCGCAACGTAGAACTTGATTTCCACGAACACAGCATGGTAGACCCACATACATGATTCCTCACGGTAGTGGAAGCCCTACCGCGTAATTTCGTCGATCGTATTATCGAGATCACCAGATCCTTCAGCTCGAACGTTTATTCTGACAAAGAAAAGCCTCAATTGACAAAACACCATGTCGCTGATTTCCATTGTCCTCTCACTCGTTATCTTAGTACTCATCAAAATTGTGGACGCTTTTGAACTCCTCGAGGAAGCTCATCACGAATACGATTAATCTGTAAATTACTGGGGCCAGATAATCGTGACTAGTGTTAGTAACATAGTGAGTATGGTAAATCCTATAGAAATCCCCGCAAACCCTACGGTTTCTTAATTTTCAAGCTGTCTAACATGAAAAACCTTTCAGGAAACTTCTACCGGTAATAAAAACTGTGGAAATAGCGATTTATTAGTAGATGCACACTTTTTATCGATGACAACTTTCGAGGTCTCAATCTTTTGCATGAATGTGCTTCTAGGGAGCAATTTCCTACACGTTTAATTCTGAGTTATTCTCTAGACCGTCGAATATCGAGTCTTGGTTTTGCCAAAGTCAGAACAAGCAAGTTATTTGGCTAGATAAACAGAAATGTAACTACGTATGCAAGAAGTCAATGATCAAGAGAACTTTGACGAGGGCCTGTTTAAACAGTTCGTTTTGTCTCACCTTCATCAACAGGTGCAGGCGGTTCTTGTCTCATTTCACAAACACGCCGAGGACGAATTCGCTGCATTTGTCGATCGGATTATCGAGATCACCAGAACCTTCAGCCCAGAGGTTTATTCTGACAAAGAAAAGCCTAAATCGACACAACACCATGTCGCTGATTTCCTCCGTACTCTCACTCGCATCTTAGTTTTCGTCATAATTGTGAACGCTTGCTAACTACTCGAGGAAGATCGTCGCGAAAACGATTTGTCTGTAAATTACGGAGGTTAGATAATCCTGACTAGGGTGAAAAACAGAGTGAGTATGGTAAATCTTCTAGAAATCTAAGAAAATCCTACAGTTTCCTAATTTTCAAGCTGTCTGACATGAAAAAAACTTTCAGGAAACTTCTTCTACCGGTAACAGCAACCGTAGTCCGTGGAAATAACCCTTTATTATATAGATGGTAAGCATTTAGAAATGTCCGGTTGGAAAAAATCCCTGAACTTATCGGACACACTAATGATGCTTGAGGTATTCGGCTTCTGAAAAGCACGTTAGACGGCCCGGTAAGTTTTCATCGACAGTTCATACAGGACTCTTAACAGACCAACTTCGTAGCAACGCGAAAATCACCAATTCTCGTGAGAATGCAATTGACACATGATCAAGCCATCGCAATATCAACTGTGCTAGCACACCAGGACATCAAAGCACCCATTAATATCTCTGTAGATGAATCCGTCTTAGTAACCAGATAGGTTTTTCAACAATGAGTTGACAACGATCAACCACCTTAATTCCCCTTCTCGAAACAGTTGCAAGACAATGAATCAGGG